GAAATCTGTCTGCTGATGATATGCAAGTAGTAGTAGTACATAGGGCACGCTTCCAGCTAATGACAAGGAACATCAGGTGTTCACACTACGACCAGGGAATAGAGTATTTTAAAACTGGGGCATAGTGACAGCTTTTAAGGGTAGTTATGGCATTTTCTTGAACATCCTGGACTGAGCACTTCAAGGCTACTGCAGAGAAACAGTCCACAGGCAATGAAAAAAGGCAGAAAAAAACCACTTCCCTCTTCCAAACCAAACCAACCAATCAAAACACATGCGCGCGCGCGCGCACACACACACACACACACACACCAACAAGGGTGCTAAATGATTACTAATCTGCAGGTTAGGTATAAATGAAGTGTCATTATCTTAAAAATATTGTGCAACACAGCTCATGCTTTTTCTCCTTCACAACATTATAGCAATGATTACATTAGTGCAGTATTATCTTTTGAAAGTTGTGTCTGTACAGGCTCTTCATAGTTGCTTTACATGGTAAGACATCAGGGAAATTTTGTTAAAGTTTTGTTCATTATTTATTTGCTTTGGGCATTTCATGTTCTCTTGTTCATATATTCAGGCTTACTCGGGAATATGACTCAAATACTCGTAAGAATTTACGATTCTGAGTCTTAATCTTCTTGGACTTAGACTAAAAAGGGGGAAAAAAAAAACCAAGTCCAAGAATTTTGCAAAAGCCTAATGCAAGAGCTAAGTTTTGAATTCAGATCTATGTAACATACATTACTATTTTTTTTGAATCATGCATACTGCTCAGCAGAGCCACGAAGCTGTCCACAAAAGCACACTTACGTTAAGGAAGGCTGGTAGGCTGATCGTGTGCAAGATTTTCTTGAAGGTGCTTGGAAAAGTGCCAAAGTCTGTTTCTGCCTTGGTGACCCGTTCTTCCATTTCAGCCACACAGTTCCCGACCATCTTCACAAAAGCCTAGATGAGAGGACAGACAATCCATCTTACCTACTAATAAATTAAATGGGGATTACATATTGAAGGACAGTGGTGAAGAGTCCATTACATGAATCATAAGCCATACAAACTCCATTGAATATTTCCCTTCCACCCAGAGCAAGCCTGGGTGTGAGATACATAAAAGGGAGCAAGAGCAGGGTAAATTTAATAAAACAACTATTTTCTATTCATCTTTCACATGCAGCTAAGTTTCAGTGAAATTTAAAAGCATATGATTTGCAACAAGTTAATAGGTGCTAGATGACGTAGGGGCAGCTTATCAAACTGAACATTGTTTCCACAAACTACATAAAAGCATACACTATTTGCACATCTCCAAACCTACTCAGGCATACAAAAGAAAAAATTGGAAGATATAAGTGATCAATAATTACACGTGACATCTGCAAGACAGTTGTGTGTAAGAGAAAAGCTCCTTTGTCACTTTTCAAATCTGCTTCTGAAGATGAGTTCCAATTTCTATGGCAATAATAAGCAGGTACTTTCCACACTCAGCACTTTAACTCTTGTTAAAACCTGCTTTTAGAAGAACACGCAAGTGTTTTGCTGTGCTGCCACGCTGAAGTGGAAGGAGTTGTTCACGACCCTGAATGCTACAGGGTTAACAGATTTGACTAAACTGCTGTGTCTGACTCAAACCACCAGCGTGAAATGCAGACTGGTGGCAAGTGTCAGTTCTTAAGAAGTGCCTAGTTCATAAAAGACCAAGGTGATATGGCAACAAATCCTGAGGAACACTAAACACATTGCCCACTAGAATATGCTCTTCCAGGACCTCTAAGAAAAATGATGCTATGGAAATGCAACTGCTTTATGTTCATGCACGTATCTCTGTCCTGCAGGATTTCACATATCCTCTGTGTTCTGACATGAGAGGAACCTCTCAACTTTTACTCTTTTGACCTCCATCTAGCAAGTGGGAAAAACAATTGTTCCCACAGCTGCAGTCTATCAGAAGTTTAACTGTGAGACACAGCAAACTCCAACACAGAGCGAGCACTTAAAGCAGCAACCAAGTCCCCAGGCCAGACTTGGCCCATCTGCTCAAGGCAGTGTTGTTGTCACAGCTTGCAAAGATGAATTACGTAACAGACAACAGTAACATACACGAGCAAGTTAAACTATGCAATACAACAGCCATACCCAGTTCTGAGTAGACCTAAACACATTTGAATGGTAAGTACTTTCTGCATTTACTCGTCTCTCTCTCACGCTTACTGAGAAGAGCAAAATAATAGAAAAAACGTGACAAACAGATCAACGAGAACGCCCTGTATGTTCACTCTGAACTTCAGCTGCCTCCCTGGTAAAAATGCTGGTGTCTCTAGCAAAGAGGATCTCAACAAACCACACTGAATGCAGACTCCTGTGCAGGTTCTGCCTCTCAGCATGTTATTTAGAGAGGCTGATCAGGACAGCTCATGCTTACTGCAGGCTTTATTCAGAAAGCTGTGTTGTCTTCTCCATGTAGAACCCCACAGAGCACAGTGAAAATAAGATATCCACTGAAAATGGCAGTGGGGTACCTTTTTGGGAACTCCCCTCTCTTTTCCTCCAACTACCTATGGAATAACAAAAATTATATTGTAATTTAAATGTGTTGAAATACTAAGACAGAAATTTCTATAATTTCCACGCTTTAGAATGACTGCAAGAAAACAGCATTTATAAATAATAAATTTGAATCTGAATAAAAAACTAAATAAATCTTCTGAATAAAACCACATTTGCAAGCCTCACAGTCTGCAGAGTCATTCCCCTAAGCGACCTTTTTCCCTGACAGTTAAGCTGTGTGCTAATGACTAAACTGAACTATGCTTGACTATATAGTGTGTGTATATACATATACACATACATAAATGTAAAACGAGGTATATTCCTGCATTTTTCACTGCACCAATAAATGTAAGAGCAATCGGTAACATCCTCCTTTGGTCTGAGGGTAGATGACTTCATTTTAGACAGAGTGTTATCTGGTAAACTTATACTTGTCTCATAGCTTTTCTGGAATTGAAAATTATTTTTCTTTAATTTTTATATTAAAAATCAAGTACAGATTCCATCTTCTGTACCTACCTACTTTCTGAATTCGAGTTTCTAATGTTTCCTGTGATCTAAAACTAGTCTCTTCGATTTTCTGCGGCTGTTGTCAGGCCCTTTTATCAATAGCATGACAAGGATTTTAACACTGCTGCTTGTTACCTCAGCAGAATTAATGCTTCTTAATGCTCTTCATTCTTCTCACCATTGCTATGGAGTATCACATTACAATGACACTCAGTGTTAATTTAAACTTTAAGCTGCCTACCCTTCTCCTGGAAATGGAATCAAGGATCTGAAGTCACTTTCAGTGCTGAAGTTTTATGAAGGATGAACATCCTGCTCCTTCTACTAGTCTCAGAATAGCTTCGAAGACAGTAAATTTCAAAGGTGCTAACAAAAAGGCCTTCAGAAAAGAGAAGGATGGTGACCTTAATTCAAGCAATAAGTTAAAAACAGAAGGGCCTGCAGAAATTATTAACACTTTTTGTGTTCTCCATAGTTACTAACCCTGAGGTATTGAGGTGGGATAGGACACTGACAGCAAATAAATCTGAAAGTCTGGAGAAGAGCCCCCTCTATACACACACATTGCAACACAGCATTGGGTTTCCTTCCCTATTGAAAATGTTCCCATTTTCACACTTCCACACCTAAATATGTCAAATACATACCTCTAACTTGTCAATCTTCCTGTATATATGTCTCATTTCTGTTGCTTTTGTGTAAATTTGAGGTAGACTTTCATTGACAACTTGAGAGGAATCACTTCGAATCTAAACAGGATTCAAACAAATGATATAAAACTGACTGAAGTGGGACTGAAAACAGACAATGAGAAGTACAACAAAAGGTAACAAACAGTAGGACTAGACCTTTGCATTTACAGATATGTGCCTGGTGTCAGGCAAAGAAGCAGGAAAAAAAAAACAGCTACATTTTACCAGCACTGATATTATCAATGTTTCTGAGATTAAACCCCTAAGAAGCCAGTCAAGGGGACAGTGAAACAGCAGCAAAGTTTGGTTGGGATCGAGAATAAGAAGTCCCCCTCATATTCCAGCACCTTCAAGTATAACTTCATTCTTCAGTTGCCTTTTAAAAATATGACGTTTTGTGCCCAATTTGACATTGCCCCTTTGACAGGCACATTTTCTTAGAAATGGTCCAGGAAATAACTTTCTTTCAGGAGCCAACTTCTCCCATCTCTTCCGTGACCTGATTCCTGCCACAAGGAGCAGTGGGGAGCATACACACGCCAAAGTGCCCAGAGAACAGAACTGTGAGCATGTGTGTTTCTTCCCAGACAGCAGAGGATCTTAATGAAGATTTCTCTTCTTTTGGCTCAGCAAGCCGAAACGGACAAAAATACCTTGCCCATTTCTCATTTTGCTCAGCACTAACTTACTGCTTTATTCTTTTGAAGTTACTCTTAAAGCAGTAAGACATTGTTCTGCAAGAGCGAAAATAAAACTAACACCGAAGTGCTGGGTAGACATAAATACTACAATTCATCACTTGATATTAACTCTCTTGGTGAGAGGCAGGAAAGTGCTGGGTAGACATAAATACTACGATATTAACTCTCTTGGTGAGAGGCAGGGTCTAAAGATTCCTGGAATTAAACTGGTGAATAAAGCAAAATCATAAGTGCCCAGATTTCATTCTGGACACTAAAACTGTGCTCCAATTAAATAAAGAAACAGCTTAAAAATCAGCTGCCTTCTTTAAGTAGTAATAAGTGTCTTGGATCAAAATTTATTTTACAAAAGCAAATAAAATACGTTCCTTTATATCAAAAATGCACATCTAACTTTGCTAGAACTAAGTGATTGAGTATTTTTCAAGGCACACCTAAGAATCAAATATACTAAACTGAAGCCTTAACTTGTGTTTAGCTATCTGTACATTTATTCAGCCTTGCTAAAGAGAATATGACCAGGCCACAAAATCATTGTCTCATCAATAGAAAAGTTAGAGCGAAATTCACCTTAGATTAAGACAGGAGAACCGCCTGTACCATGACTTGAAAGATGACTCTATATACCAATGTCAGGCTGTAAGTTCTTTCTGTACACTTTATTTATTTATTTTCTTTCTTATGAGACAGGAAATCCGAGCTGTCTTCCCAATAAAAGGTAAGAAGGGTTCTCTAAGACCATGTACAGTTTTGAAGATCTGGCAATTCTGGTTAAACATTTAGATTGTAAACATTCATACGGATGCCCTATGTCATTTTCAAAAGGAAAAGCACAACATCATCCCACCCTCTTAAACGTTTGTTGCTGCGCTGTTCTAAATGAGATTCCATTCATGTATGCATGTACACAAATATATAAATGCAGTTATATAGCCATGTGAGCACATAATTCTGCACATATTCACATATCACGTGAATGTTCAGCAGTTTTAACCCGCAAACTACCTGTTTATCAAATGTATTTTCAAACTAGTATCTATCTACCTATCTCTATTAAAGATTACCCTGTCTTGGTCGCGTTTTCAGACACAAACATATACTCAACTGTATTCGGACTATTAAAACGAAGTTACACGCGGGTTATACGCACCATGTCCAACATTCCCACAAATTCATCCACTCTGGTCAGCAGCTCTTCCAGACTCTCCTCAAAGCTTTCTATCTGCAAAACGCATTTAAATATTTGGTAAAAGCAAAACTAGATCAGGTCAC